AGGCTGCATCCATTGGTTGGTTTTGTGGCACATTTGTAACGCTGTGCCAACTTGGGCAAGCATGCAGGCAAACTTGAGGAGCGCACACAGGGTGGAGTGAGGTTGAGCGATGGAGAGAAAGGGAGAGAGAGAGATTGAGCGAGGCAAATAGCGTGTGCAGCGGTCTGCTTGCGCACAGAGCCGGAGTTTGTGAGAGAGCCGGCTTGAGAGTCAATTTCTCTTCAAAATATAATTGATTGCCAGCCTCCCTTGTCCCTTGCAAATCAGTTACGTTGGTAACGTAACTGATTTCTTCTAATGTGCCTGCCTGCATCTGGCGCTGAGTTGCCATATTCCTTTCATGAACCACTTCCTGATATCCATTGTTGCAGATAAATATAAATGATAATAGCCAAACTAACCTAGCAAGAGTAAACTGACAGGCTGCTGTGCCGCATCTCACTCAAAAACCCACACGACTCAACCCAGCGAAAAACCAGTCTCGCGCGCAGCCTTTGATTCAGAATTTAATTCTGAATTTCATAGCAAAATAAAAAAATGATATTAAACTAATCTTTCAACATAGTTTAAAACAAAAATAAATATTAGGACAGAGCCCTACAAATAACAACCATAAACATAATAATAAAAACAATTAAAATGTTGTATTCAGCCCTGATTAAAACTCCTCCCAACACAGCAGTAAATAATAAGTTCCACTGTTATCAGCTTTGATGAACACATCAATAATTATAACTAAAACGTATGATATATTGTGTTAAATTAAGTTAGCAAGCGTTGCTTCTTACATAAATTATATGTATGTTATCAGACGCTACCAGCACAGTTAAATAACAAACAGTCTTAGATAACGTTATTTTTGTCTTTAGTATCCATCTGCTGGTGTTGAAATATTTGAGCTGTTAGGTACACCGACAACAGCCTCAAACTGAAGCTGCTAACAGCTAGCTTCAAGACAAAGTTTGGCTAGCTGATTACTCTAGGCTGTACAGCACATGACAGTCAAACAACCAAGTACGAAGCCATATGTACTCTGTCAGCACTGTTTAATATACGAGACAAATAGAAAATCTGTGTTTTTAGCCACAGCTGACTGACAGTCAAGCTAGCAAACGAGAACTAGCTAACTACAGCAAACAGTTAGCAGGATTGCCAACATTTTAACAGCGTCCGCATTTCGTAAACCCGCACCTAATTAACGTTATAAATCGACCAAGTTAACATATACTGTGCTACAATGTCACCAGTGTGTTCGAGTTAATTTTGGAAGAAGGAATGAGCGTCGTGTAGTTTGAAGAAAATAGTTCGCTTTCCACTCACCCTAGCCGCGGCCGCCATTTTGAATACGTGTCATTTGTGACGTTGCGGAAGTACTGTAGTTACGATGAATTCCTTTCGGGTTTATCTGACACACCCCTGTAACGAATAACTCACATAACTTTCTCTATTATGTTTACATGTTTTATTGATGACTTTTTCCTTGTATTTGTTGTAAAGATAACATGTTCTTGCATTTATTCAAATGTTAATGAAATTAAAATTAGGTATACGCTACATTTCAAATATACATATTTGAAGTTAGCCTACAATTGCGACGACATCTATAGATTTTGCAATTGTAGGCTTACACAACGTTGACAATACTTTTTGAATTTAATTTAATTGAGTAGTAATCTAAATCAATGGTGAGAAAAGTATTCAGATTCTCTACTTGAGTAAAAGTAGGCCTAGCTATCACCGTCAACCTACATTTAAAGTAAAAGTATTGCAACGAGAATGGTACTTAGGTAAAAGTATTTAAGTACGATTAAGTAAATCTAGCCTACTTAAAGTATTAGGAGGACTCATTGTAGAAAACACTAAAAACATATTAAATAAAAAAAAGCAAAAGCAGCAAATCTTCTCATTTACTCTGAACTCTGAAATTCCTGTGGACCAAAAACTTCTTAGAGAAATTGTTGCCAATACATTTCCAGTGAACCCACTCATGGTTTCAGATACTTCCATATAATGTTTGATCGTTTATTCTATACCAAATATTCATATTTGTAATGTGTGTCAAAATCTGAATGTATAAAGTGACTGGTAAACAAATCTGTAAAAATAATTGTAGTGGAGTGAAAAGTGCAAAACTGGCTTCCAAAAGGTAGTAGTATAGAAGTATAAAGTAGGATAAAATGAAAACACTCAGGTTACATACAAGTACCTCAAATAGTGCAGTTACTTACTGTCCACGTCTAAATTGCTAATAAACATTGTTAGGAATAAACTAGTTGTGTTTTCACTGTAAGCACAGCAGAATATTATGTTGAACAGTATGTTACTCTAGGTCTATTTCAAATAAGGAAAACTGGGCAAACAATTTCAGGATTTTCAGAAAACACTTTTATATATTTAAGGGCAAAACCATAGAAAAATATATTGTTTGTTTATACACAGTTTTTTTTAATGGGAAAATTCCACATCCATAAGAAGAGATTGTTCATGTTTTACCATGTATAATGTTAGGTTTATGCAATTTCTTGATTTAAAAAAACAAAACAACCTCCAGATGAAGATTTAACCTAAAGCAACATCTACTAATAACTGAAACAATTGAATGCCAATAACAATATAACAATATAATAAATACATATTAATATCTATTGAGTTAAAGAAAGCGTTTACAGTATTTTTCCATCTTGTGACATACTGTAGGCCTAATTTTATGTTAACCACCAAGTGTAATATGTATTTATATTTAAAACGTTATATTTATTAGCCTCCTACTATTTAACTAGAAACAATCAGATAGCTGTGTACAAAATTGTGTAAAAGAAAGGTAGATAAATGCTAATAAAACCTTTTATTTGAATATGGTCCCCAGAGTTGCATTGAACAAAGCGTTTAACAAAATATGCCACTATTAATATATTGTTAAAGAAAAACTGAAAAACATTAGTAACCAGATGAATTCATATATAGCACAGGGCATTGATTCAATATGTTCACCATCCTCTCAGATATTGTTACTCACAGAATTCAGAAGGGTACCAATCATCACATTACAAATTCTTAGATTATTAAATGCATTCCCTTTGATATTTTAGGATTTTTGTCAAAAAAACACATTCCTACAAGAATCCCATCATCCAAACAAAGAGTAAGCCTTAATGAGTGCTTCACAAAAAAAATGATAGAAAAAGTGTTTCCTTCTGGAAAGATCACTGCATTCAAGATAAACTCATGTTCCATTTTCACAAATAAATTATTGTTTTACTCAGAATAAAACAAGGCCAAACGATGTTTGGATATATTTGCACTGCTTTTTCATTTAGTTCCCAAATACAGCACCACCAAAGTAATGGGCGGAAAGGATAAAAAAGCATCATCAGTTAATATGGCTTCACATTAAATGCTATTCCTACATTTTTGTATTTAATTGTACACACCTTATTTATACAGAGCGTGTGGAATATATTATAAATGTTTGAAAAAAAGTAACAACACCTAAAAAAGGCACATTGAAGGAGTATTGCTAAAACAATCCACAGCATGGAACATATATAAATATAGGGTAAAGCATACACTATATCTTGCACGTTGTAACAAACACTCTCCTTTCACATGTTAAACCCTGCAGATTTAACCAGAGAAGGAGGGACAGTCACAGCTGAATGGTTGGCTTAAACACAGTATTATCAGACCGCTTTACACATTTCATCATTACATCTGTGTTATGGAGCAGGATGCACAATATGTGGTGGAGCACAACAACTAAATCCAGTGTCTTCCATGTGACTCAGGTGGCCTTTTTTGTTTGTTTGTGGATATAGACATATCTTGTTACTCTGTACTTTTTTACAAGAGACTGTACATACAGTATAAGAGGCTCAGGGTAGAGAAGTGGGATTGGCTATCTATATTGTTATTTTATATATATACTGTATATTTTTAGAAAAATAGCAGTCAGACTATTTTACAGCACAGTATATGGTCAGATTGTTTTAAATCCAGCTTTCCCTTTCCAATTTGCGAAAAATACCAGTCTTGATGTGCTTGCCTGTTCACTATTAGAGCTTATCCAAGCAAAGGTGCTATTTTTACTTACATTTAGAAAACAAACTGTCCTTGCTCTTTATTTATACCTGTTGTGTGACACTAATTACTTATGCATTTATTCAAATTCAATTCATTTATTTATATTTATGTTTATGAATGTTCATCTTTAAAATTCAGTGGAATAACTGTGAAGGAAACAGACGATTTACGGTCAGTTTTGTGCAGACAAATATCCAGTAGACCTGATGCAGCTGTGGTCATGTTAACCTAAATCCACACCTTCAGATCATCATCAGACTGGTAGTAAGAGTAGGAGGTAAGAATATTTTCTCATAATGTTTTTGCATTAGTAATAATAATAAATGATACGTTGCTAATATTGTTTTTGTATTTCTATTCTGTAGTCCTATTACTTTAAATGTTCTCATTCTAAGGAATGAGGGCTGAATAAAAATAAAAATAAAATGTTAGTATCAGTAATCATCAGCTTGCTACAAATATATTTAAAAAACTTTCAACCCTCCCCAATAATGTTTGTACAGTCTCTATGATGGTTGTGTGTGTGCAAAAGAGAAACAGAAAGTGGTAAAGAGAGAACATGTGTGTGCTCTGGAGAAAGCACTGTAGAAAGTGGACCTGCTGTGAGAATGAACAGCACTAAGAGAAGACATGTCTCATGGCTGCTGCTGATACTGGCTCTCTGTGGCTGTGTAGAAGTCCTCCAGGACGCTCTGCAGGTACTCAAAGGTGGGACGCTCCTCAGGCTTGTTTTTCCAGCATTCCAGCATGATATCATAGAGTTCCACGGGGCAGCTGTCCAGGCGCTTCATCCGATAGTCCTTCTCCAGGGCACGGATCACTTCCGGGTTGGTCATCCCTGAAGACACGAGCACATCGTTTGGTTAAGAGAAGCAGAACAACTACACAAAAAAACCTATAGAAAATAGCTCATTGGCTGGGATGCTTTATTGCTAGCAATATTACTCTGTTGGTGAGTTGACAAAAATATCTTAACAACTACTTGATGGGATGCCATGAAACTGTGTACAGACTTTCAAGATCCCCTCTGAACTTGGTAATCCCCTGACGTTATCGAAATGCCTAGTTAACATTGTGGTTTTAAGTTAACCATTGGAAGAATTGCCATGTAATTTGTCTCATGATGATCTCAGGATGAATTGTCTTAACTTTGTTGATCCTCTTATTAATGTAGCCCTATCACAATGTTAAAATCTCCCACCTCCATCTTACAGCCTAATGATGTTAAACTCAAGACAATCTATGCCCTCAAAACTGTGGGCAGTTTTACATTTAAACATTGTTATATTCACAGTGACTGAACTGTTTGTTTTTACCATTCAAACTGCATTTGATACGTCCATCAGACTTTTGTATTTGGCCTATAAGACCCTAAAACATAGGGATGCCCCCCTTCAAAAAATCGCTATCATAGATGTACCCTAGTTCTTGCTGCATCAAGGACAAGCGGTACAACCTTGAGAAAACCCCCAAATTACATAAAAAAACGATTAACTGTGGAGGGCTTTGTTGCTAAATAACTCAAGCAGAAAACTACATATTGCCCTATAGTGTTTTTTATCCTGGCTCTATTTAAAATCAAATCAGTGGCATTTTCCTCCCATTACCCTCATTTTTGCAGGCCACTTTGAAGGCCAAGAGAATCCCTTGGCTGAGTTTAGGGTTAAACTTTGATTCAAGGTCCAAGCTTGATTTAAACTCATTGTAAAACACAGTTTTGCACAGCAAAATTGGGTTGTAGGGTGCTACCCAAAATCCAGATTTTGTATGCTGGTGACAATAGGATGAGTCAAGGAGTTATTGTATGAGGAAAGAAGCCGTTGTCTGTTAGGAGTGAATCGCACGGGTCAACAGGCGGTTGCTGGGGTGGATAATATCTCTAATATAATTTGATACAACCCAATATCACCATTGCTTAGTAGATTGGTATTAAAGGGACTCTATTCTGCTAATTTTCAGGCTCATATTTGTATTTAGGGTCTCCACTGTAACATGCTTTAATATTCAAAAAGCAGTTTATTTTTCTCATATTGCCTGTGCTGCAGCACCTCTTTTCACCCTTTGTCTGAAACCAGAGCCCAGTCTGCTCTGATTGGTTAGCTGGCCGGCTCTGTTGTGATTGGTCAATCACTTAGAGATGTCCCGCCCTTATGTAGAATGTGTTAAAGTGTTAGCCAATAGAAGCGTGAGTGTTACATAGTGATGTCACTATGTAAAGTAGTGTCATGACTATAGTGCTACTGTGCAATGTCACAGTAGCACTATAGTCATAGTAGTGCTATGGAAGTGAACAAAGGAGTCCAATGGAGGCGTTTCAGAAGGGGGATGGGGGGGGGGAAATGTGTGGAAGAGAAACTCCCTCTGGTACACAACCTTTATAACACACTACAGGAAAGAAAAAACCACAAATAGCATTATAGGGCCCCTTTAATGATGTTCTAGGCCCCTGCAGCAGGGCCCTCCTGTTTAGGCCTTCTGGCAAATGCAATCCTATCAATGTTGATATCAATTGAGCCTCTCACCTGGGTATGGTGTGCGTCCATAGCTGATAATCTCAGTCAGCAAGATACCAAAGGACCAGACGTCTGATTTGATGGTGAAGGAGCCATAGTTGATGGCCTCAGGGGCCGTCCATTTGATGGGGAACTTTGCTCCTGGTTAAAGAGGAAATCAAAAAACATTTGAAGTAATGTCGACGATGTTACTGCCTCTGTACTAAACTGATGAAACTGACCTGCTTCCCCTTCATTAGTTCTGGGGGAATCAGTTTCCCGTTTTTTTTTATCACTGATGACTACTACTAGCATTACAACATGTGAGCGTGGACAGCGCCCTACCTTCTCTGGCTGTGTACTCGTTGTCTTCAATGATACGGGCGAGGCCAAAGTCAGCAATTTTGCACACCAAAGCCTTATTGACCAGGATGTTGGCAGCCCTCAGGTCTCTGTGGATGTAGTTCCTCTGCTCAATGAAAGCCATGCCCTCTGCAATCTAAAGATAAATCAGTCAGTTTAAACAGGCCAAAACATAGCTCCCCATACCAAATGTCACTGGAGATGAAATTACAAAACAGTACGAAACATGATGCTTCAACGTAAGCAGCAACACTTCCATGCACTCAATCACTTCGGGCAAGCAGCTTTTTTCGGTTAATTGCGCCACTGGCAACAAGAGAAACCGTATGTACCTTTTAATTAAGGTACACATGCTACCTTCCTTTAGCTTCTTTGTGTAAGCACTAAGACCAATCAATCTGTTCAAAAGTCAAATGAATCTTGGTGGGTTTGAATCAAAACGGGCAGATCTAACTATTTTATAATTATTTATTTTTTACATCCATTATGTATGACTTTAACAGCATATATGGTCTGTTGTAGTATTAGGAATAAATAAATAGAAGTAGATGGGAAAGGGGGCTAATTGTAAAAAACAAACAAACATGCACATCCACAATAACTGAAACTATATCTCATGTAAAACTATATAAACTATATTCCATTATTATTCTTTTTTAACCTACAATCGCCATAATACGGCATCATATATGACCCAATACGTTTATCGTACAACTGTAAAGCAGCGTAAACACCATTTGTTCTTTTATTTTGGTGTAGCCTTTGCATCTCAAATCGTTGTTTGAAGATAAATATGCTCTTGTCATGATCATCACATGGGCGTGTCTGCCTCTGCAGCTCAGACCTGCTACGGTCTCTCTCCAAGAGCTGCTGCAGGTTGGACTGGATGTGCAGGTCTAAAGGAACGGGTAGCTGCAAGATATTGTCTGGGAGTGGAAAGGTGCTCTACGTCAATAGCATTGTGTTCTCTTATTAAATCAACCATCTATTTTTCTCTATTTCCTGGAATAATGCCACTGTTTTTCTTGCAATCACAATAATAATAATAAATTCAAGATGCAGCCCAAAGTACTTTACAGAGCAAGACAAAAAAAGAGAAAGGGACCTCATTACAAACACTTTATAAAAAAACCAGAAAGAGTTCGATCACAAAACCATAAAACGATAAAACATCAAGAAGGTTTTACCACAAAAATTACCCCAAATTAAAAGCCAAATTAAAAAGATATGTTTTTAATTCACAAGGGAGTTTGCTGTTCTAAGATCCAAGGGAAAATAGTGTGAAATACTTTAGGTACTTCTAAAAGAAAGGCATTGGAGGATCTGACAATACAAACTAAGTATGAGTTGAACTGAGTGTCATTACTGCTGTCAGGTATACAAGAAGCAAACAACCAGAGGAGCGGGTCACACAGTGCTAGAAGGCTGAGAGGGACTGAGTGACACTCACCTGGGCAGAGAAGTCGATGAGCTTGGGGAGCTGGACACGGTTTCCTTCATCACTCTTTAAGAAGTCTAATAAACTGCCTGTGGCCACACACAGAAACATTAACACATCTGCTGCATGTAAAGCTCAATGCACTCAACATATATTTACCATAAGCATAAATCAACAAAATAACCTATGTATATTTGTAATGCTTACGTGTACGTTTGAACCGATATCTTTGATGATTCATATATTTCATGATATTGTTATGGAGCTCCACCTATTGCCACTGTATATTTATTACTTTCACCAGATTAAAGGTGGGGTAGGTAAGTTTGAGAAACCGGCTCGAGATACACTTTTTGTTATATTCCATGGAATGTTCCTAACATCCCGATAGCAATGAATATCTTAAGTGCTTTGACAAAAAATCCATAAAAAAAGGTCATCTGTGGAAGCCGCGGTACTGTAAAAAGCACGACCAATCATCTGAGCTCCGGCTAAAATAACTGGATGGCCTACCTGCCTGTTAGCCTTCCATCTGTGCACAAATTTATCTCGTGCCTTCATTGGTCATGTGCGCGTTCGTGTGTGTTGGAGGAGGGGCTCTGTAAGGAAGTGGCAGATTTTTTCCGGCTGTGTATTTTCAAATTCCTGCGCACTCGAGCTGGTTTCTCCACCTACCCCACATTTAAGGGCGTTGCTACGTTGACAAGTCGATCAGTGGTGTTGTCCAGTTTAGCTGTTGTCAGTGTTTTTGTCTTTAAAATGTGAACCTTTCACAGCACATTTTTGTTTGATCATATTAAATTGTAGGATTTTGGTTGCCTAAAAAAAAGTATTGCTAAATTGGCAACATATAACTCAAGATGGCAATGGCTAAAATGTCAAACTCAAGTCCTCAAGACCACAAAACCAATGTGTGACTTTTAATATCTATGTTTCATTATCATACAGCCACAAATAAAGCAAAGGGCATGTATTGACACCGTTTACAGGAAAACATGGCTTTACGGTGCCGTGCCATGTGGGCCTCATCTGCATCCGAAGGTGGAGCCAATTTGGGATCACATTTGGGTTTCACCATGAAGGCATAAGATAAATGTAAAATTGGACTGTGAACAAGCAGTGTGGAAGCATTGTATGTTAATGACATGGCATCCTCAGTCCCACAGAAACAATAGGTTACCTCCAACCTATGGTGTAGCTGCCATCTTCCACATTGGATTTCATATATTATGTTATGCTTGTTTCTTCAATGGAATAATGATGGATACATGAACTTTAACTTTCTTTTCTTTCTTTTTTTACTTCATATGCAACATGACTCATTTCACTTAATGAGCTCATTTGTGTGAGCTTTGAAATGTGAAAGCAATTTTTTCCAATGAGGATCAGATACTGACAAACAACACAAAAATTGAATCTGATGACTATTATAACGGTGTATGGTTTTGCATTACTGCCCTGAAAGAGGAGAGGAAATATAATCAAAACCACTGATTGGGTTGAAAATATGAATACATGCTTAAGAAATAAAGCTTTCGGTCTCGAAGGCAGAAGAGGATAGTAAATGAGTTAAGTTATAATGGATGCACAATTAAAAACCTGCAAATTAGAGAAAAACATATTGGGCACAATTTAAGTGAAGCACAAAACAATTATCTAACTAACCCTTTCCCTCTTTATTATTTTTGGAACCATTTTGAGTCTGAGTACTGCATTAACATTTTAAATGTGTGGGGTACTTTAAGCATAACTTACTTTAAGCTTATATGCACTGATGTTTTACAACAAGATTTAAGAGACTTGGACCATAATATTGTAAAACTATAAGAGATACTTTTCTGATATAGTAATTTAACACAGCTGGTTTGAGCAAATTGGCTGTATATGTTTAAGGGGTGAGGAATAATGTGTGCATCCATGTGCATTTGTGTCTTTAGGTCTATACTCAAAACTATTTCAAATACATTTTAATCAACTCGTGAAAGACAACAAATGTCACTATCAGCTGTATTCAATGCATAATCTTTAGCCTTCTTTCCTTCATTGTAGTTCAAATACAGCCTGGATATGCTGATAGATTGCTTCCCAGACCTTCTCCAGTTATGAATGTAAAACGCCTGCATGGAGGCCAAAGCAAACTTAACCGTTGTTAAACAGCCTATTGCTGGGAGTTATCTGTAAAAAACGCATTGTTGCAGTTGCTGTACAACTTGTGTTTACAGTTGCTTCTGCAGATCATCCACTGTTTTGGAGTTGTCTTCTGTAGCTTGAGAGGACATGTCCAGTGAAGCTGGTTCAGGGGTTGAGCAGTAATCATGGTCACGGACATCGATGTGCTCTTCCTGCTCCTCCCGAGAGACTGGTTCAGTGGGCCGCTCCCTTCTCTCCCAAACACTAGCCCGCGGTGTTTGAGCAGTAAAGTGATTCCACTCAAACAGAGTTGGTACAGCACCTTTCACAAGCCTCCTACGGCCATCAAGGGTTTTTGGCTCTATTAGTTGATCCGTAGCGAAGTGACGACTGCAG